TTCAAAATATATCATCCTCTACGTGTTCATTATAAGGAGATATTGGCTCATCTCTAAAAACATTGGGTGACATTCAGTTAAAAATTGATAGNAAAATCATGCGTTATAAAAACCCAATCGTTAGATAATAGGAAACTCGTGGAAAAAAGCACGATAACAAAAACAAATCACATAAGAGTAAGGAGCAATTGAAAAATGTGATATCAGAAGCAACAAGATCAGAATAGTGTACTTCTCTCGTAAGCGTGGCCTTCTGACGACTTACGATATCAGCAGCCATTTAACTGTATAAACAAAAAAAAACAATACAAATCTTGTGTTTCAGGGCTGGAACCATGCCGGTGATACAGCAACCTGGAGAAATAGAGGAAATTGAAAGAAACCCTCAAATATTGGTGGAGAGCTTGGGCCTTATCCAAGCAGTGATACCACCTGTACTGATCAACATATGTTGAAAAAATCTATTTTTAAACTAATTTTTAATCATTGTTTGTCAAAAATTTACAGCTGTAGTTTATAGCTATATTTATAGCTGAATTTTATACATTATTATAGCTGTTTCCCTGGTAGCACAATCTTACGCACTGGCAGTGCGTAAGTCTGCACCTGGTCTGCTTCCTGGATCTTTTGTTATTCTGATGCATGGCAAGTGCATAAGACGCTTTGCGGCAGATTTGCGCAAGATTAGCGTGCAGGCGAGTGCGCAAGATTCTTGCGCAAGAAGTGCACAAACCTGACGATCAGTCGAGTGCGTTATTCGTCTTGACTTGACGCACTCTTAACTGTGGCAGATTTGCGCAAGATTTGGGTGCAGGTGAGTGCACAAGACTCTTGCGTAAGAAGTGCACAAATCTAACGATCATTTGAGTGCGTTATCATTCTGACTTGACGCACTTCCACTTGCGGCAGATTTGCGTGCAGGCCAAAGCGCAAGACCCTTGCATAAGAAGTGCACAAATCTGACGATTAGTCTAGTACGTTATTTGTCTTAACTCGACGTACTCCCGATTGCGGTATAGATTTGCGCAAGATTTGTGTGCAGGCGAGTGCGCAAGACTCTTGCGCAAGAAGTTCACAAATCTGACGGTCATGCAATCAAGTGCTCGTTATTATTTTTATTCAATGCACTCCTTTTTGTTGGAGAATTTTGCAGAATTTTTGCAGGACAATAATTAATAAAAGCTGTTTTTACCACAGTTTTGACTTATTTTGCTTGTAATAACTTGTTTGTTACGTTTTTGCTCGTGCAGAAAGTGTGAAGACATTTCTCAAGTGAGATTTTAACATCAAAATTTTTCGAGATTTTTCAACATGGTTATGGGAGACATTTATTTTTGTGTACTGACATTTTTTTATGTACAATCGGCATCTCAAAATTATAAATCACCTTTATATAAGAAAAAATATTATGAAATTAATATTAATACACTAGTTTTGCTAACTCATTAAGGAACCTTCATTGTATCGGATAAAAAATTTATTTTTGAAAATCAGTGACTAATAGTAATACTAGTGTATTTTATAGTATTAGAAATAAAAATAGTTCATAATTAAAAAATGTATGTACATGTGTGCGTATGAATGTTTGTGTGTATATGTATGAGTGTATGTATATGTGATCGGTCATGTCTCAGAGCCCTGTGGTCTGACTTTAATAATTTCGGGTTCAAGCTTATTGTTTTTGCAAACTTATACCGGCTCGAAAAAAATTTTAGTTTTGCACTTTATTAAGGTAGATGCTGTTCGTTTCTAATTTTTGACACGGTTTTTTACCTTAGTAAGGGTCTAAACAATTTTTTTAGCTTTTAAAATTATTTTGATTTCTTAAGTATATAATCAACACTATTTTATATTATCAATGCTTTTGAAAATTTTTTTTATTACTTTGAATGTGTACAATACTAAGATTTCAAGATTTGTTGATGTGTCAGGAAAACAACTATAGATTTTTTTTATTTTATGTTATAGTGCTCTACGTCCGGCTCCTTTAATAAGGGCACTACTATAATGGGCACTTAGCACTTGGGAGAAGGAAGGGATGAGTGATGGGAGGCCTCCTATTACTGGGAGGGGGTAGGGGGAAATTAGGCAATTTTTGCTACGAGAAGGTCGCCTAAACCCTCCCCGAGAAGCATTGCGTGGTAAAAAAGCACATGCGAAAAATCACAGAGGTACTTGCCCGAAAAGTCGCACAGGCCGGGAATCGAACCACAGTCTCCCGCGTGCCAATCCACGACCTAGCCGACTGAGCCACCGCGCGCTCTAACAACTATAAATAACAAAAAAAAACGTAGGAGCGGCGTTGCCTCAGTAGATAGCATACTTATTACTGATACAACGTGGTTTTAGAGGTCGTGGGTTCAATTCCCAGTGAATGCAGATTTTTTCAAAAAGTGTTTTCATCAAGAATAGTCCCTATGTAACCCTGGCTGTTTCGGGGCGGGTTTTACCGTGGAATTTTCCTTCAGAGTAATTCCAGAGTTTTTTCTTTGCCCCACAGGTCTTCGGGCCTGGGAGAATGCGAAACAGTGTTAGGGCTATAGGTAGGGATTAGCAGATCAGATGTCAGGAGTCGGGCAGGGATCGCTGGCCGTACCAGCGAGGAGTGGTCCCTGAATCATGGGGCTTCTCTGGAGATGCTAATTAGTCTGGATGCGATGCTTCGGCAGAGAGCGCCGGCTTAATCGAAGAGGAGTGGACGTCCTGGAATATGGCGTCCTCTCTGGGGAAAGGTTACATAGTGGCAAGTGGACCCGATGCACCAATGGTGTAAAGAGTGTAAGCTTAACTGGCAAGGTGTTCCCCTGGAGATACTCACACTGTGCCCATGGATTCAGGTATGATATCAGTAAAAAGGGTTGGAAATGGATGTAGCAATACCCCCCACACATAAGTGGTGTGTGGGTGGCCACTAGGCCAGTAGGCTGTCGTGGTTACCTGATAGAAAAAAAAAAAAAAATGTATTTACACTTTCCTCTGATAAAATTATTTGGATCAAAAGGATTAAAATAATAGAGTGACGAGAAAAAAAGCTATGGTAGGTTGTAAGCATAAATAAAATATATACTATAATGAAATCACTAGTTAACAAATTGATCCAAATATATTGCAAAATAAAACATTTAGTGGGTATCATGGCAGGAGTGTGAGGCGCAAATATAAATATTTGGGGTGGGGGTATAAGTGCTTTTCACAACGAATACACCCTATAAACATATTGGAGAAAGCAAGCGAATTATTCCTTACGTGGCAGTGTGTTTAGAAAGGTCAAAATATCGTGACAGAAGTGGGCTGAAATAACCAGCCAAGAAAACTGTATCATTAAATAAAGAAACAGATATGCGTATATACAACGACAGTTACGAGAGCTTAGGATTTTAAATAATTTAACAACATAAACAGTACATTTTTAACTAAACACTTACAGTATGTTTGTCGCTAAAAATTTCTTGTGTTTTGTATCAGAAAAGTTGTTATCAACAAAAATTTTATATACCTGTGGATTATATTTTTGATGATGACATTGCAAATAAGTGTTGAGCTACAAATTCCTGAAAAAAATGGGAAGTCAAAAAATACTATTAAATATTTTTCATGGGAAGCAAGTACAAACCCACGATTTGTGCACTTCTTACGTAAGAGACTTGCGCACTCACCTGCACGCAAATCTTGCACAAATCTGCCGCAATCAGGAAAGCGTCGAGTCAAGACAAATAACGCACTCGACTGACCGTCAGATTTGTGCACTCTTTACGCAAGAGTCTTGCTCACCCGTCGTGCTTCAGAATTATGTAAGATTTTTGAAGTAGACTAGATGCAGACTTACATAATTTTGCTGTCGATGTAAATCTTGTGCAAGAAGTACGTAAGAAATGCAATAAATATGATAAGTTACATCGTAAATACGAAGACTTGAAACGAATGTGTAAAGCATCTGAAGAAAAATTGACAGATTATAAGTTAATTAATGAAAAACTACAAAAACTTTTGTTCTTACGGGAAGAAGATTCAGGTAAGAAATAACGTCATTTATATAAAATGCTCGTACATGTGTAGCAGAAAGTTACAGTATTCTTTGATGTAAAGGTAAAAATAGTGTATTAAAACTACTTCAATTTGTCCGTTAATCAACGTAAGTTTATGTCTCTTGGGGTCATAGCAAACTACATAGTTGGTATAAGAGGGAAAAATATTAACTCTTGGCTAGTGCTTTTTATTATTACCAAAATATTGTGTACCTGTCGAAGCTTTACAGTGCTAAATCCTATTTATCCTGAACATTATTTAACATAAAAAAAATTTTAGATGATATATTAGCTGATGTAGTAGTAAATATTACATCATATTATATCCATATTTTCTCACGGTAACGTTCAATATCAGAAGGTACTGAAAAACACTGATAAGTAGAAAAGATTAAGATTGACACATCGTAGTGTCTGCATGAAGAAAGGTGCACAGGATTCCAAGTCGTGCTGTAATTTGTTAGTCGTATTCTCTAAGATAGGATCCGATGCTAGTGAAGGATATTTGAGGCTGCAAATAATTAGTGATCTTGGATATGCTCAGCTAACCTAGAGTTCTAAGGATTTTCTTGAAACTTGAAACTTGAATCACGAAATTATGCTGGATGGCGCTAGGGTCATTCGGCGTTCAAGGGTACCAGGGGTCTGATCGGGGCATTCGATATCTCGCAAAAGTAAGCATTTTGGTCGATTATCGGCGATAATTCCTAAACTGCGCATGCGCATTATCGTCATTTTTGGTTATTTTATAGGGATTATCGAAAATAATGCTTACTTTTGCGAGATATCGAATGCCCCGATCAGACCCTCTCTATCAGGACCTTCTATATCTCGCAAAAGTCAGTATTTTTTTCGATAATTTATATGAAATTATGGTTGTGCGCATGCGCAGTATACGAATTTTCGAAAAAATACTGACTTTTGCGAGATATCGAAGGTTGTGATAGAGCCCGCATTCTCGGCTGCCAGAAAGTTTTCTTACTTAGCCTTAATCTCTCTGCTCTGCTCATCGCTGGCTTAGGACTATAGAGTTATTTTGAGTAAAATAAATAGTGAATAATAATAAATGTACAAGTATTGTCCAGTTTTGTACAAATCTTTCAGATATATTTTTATCTCGTATTAATTGAGCAACACATGTTTATTTCTTGTTTCTGGATGAAAGAATTGTAATATTTTTAGTATTACATGCTTAATCTCGAGAGCATTGTCCAATTATATACAATCGAATACCAAAGTCATGGGTGTATTGGACTTGAAGAGTATTCGTTGATTTTAAAGGCTTTTACACTTTATGGTAGATCTATAGATTTTGGTAAAGTACCGAAAAATTATTCAGGTTTTGTATCCTTACTGTAGTTCTTCAGAGTTAAGTTCTTTTGATAATGATAGTGCCTTATTTAGGTTACTTTTCTGCGGCTTTCGTCATGTGGCTTTCGACCTCGGAAGCATCAGCCCTTGGAGTTGAAGAAGTCGCTGCTCGGCTGCAAGTTGATGTTAGAGCTGGCCTTTGGTGGGAAGAAGTTAATCATAGGAAACAGCTTTTTGGTTGTAATGAGCTCATATTCAAGGTGGATGAGCCTACATGGAAAAAGTATGTGGAGCAGGTGAGGTCTATTGGTTTCATGAATCTTTACCCTAATTTTTTATGTAGTTAAACTCTCTTCACTAAATTTGTCAACTCAAGTGAATTCCTTATTGCTTTTAGTTTAAGAATCCACTAATTCTTCTCTTGCTTGGCTCCGCTTGCGTCAGTGTCTGCATGCAGCAGTTTGATGATGCAATCAGCATAACTGTGGTAAGTTCTTGTTTATTTCTATTTGATGTGACGTGATTTCTGGAGTCCTATATATTTTGGTAGGGGTCTTTGATGTAATATGTAACCACAGTGCAAGATAAGACTGGTGGTATGAAGTACCCCTCTATGCTTTGCGTGGTCTGTCGCAATTTTGTAACAGTACCAAGTTTTTCACCAGGTGGATTAGTGTCAAAAAGGTAGTATATATATACATACATATTGCAATGGTTACACACACACGGAGATACTCACACTGTGCCCATGGATTCAGGTATGATATCAGTAAAAAGGGTTGGAAATGGATGTAGCAATACCCCCCACACATAAGTGGTGTGTGGGTGGCCACTAGGCCAGTAGGCTGTCGTGGTTACCTGATAGAAAAAAAAAAAAAAAAATNTTGGTTAAGAAAATTTATTTCTTGGTATTTGTACTGTACACAACATCAGTCACAAATATCTGAAGCGATGCATCTACCAAATTTGCTGGTCAAAAGTTATACGAAATTTTATAAAAGTCAGTTTTCATCGACTTCTGAATAATTGTATCTCTTTCTAACATATGTAGCTCAGCTCCTTCAACAGTTAGTGTTCTTACTGGGCTTGGATCAAGACCTATTGATTAAAAAAAATTTTGTTCGGTTTTGTGCTTTCATTCGAAAGTTACAGCTGTTTCAATTAGAGCGTAAATATCGCTAATAATGTGATTTTGGCTAAAATTCAGTATTTTTCATAAAATCACTATAACTTTTCATTCGGGGCATACAATTCAAAGATTTTTGTTTTAATCATTAGGACTATATTTTTGCTTTCATTTAAGCCCAGATAAAGCCACCTAATGGAGTGCACCACTTGGCTACCAACGTTGGAAGTAGCACCACCGTCGTTTTTGCATTTATGTAGCGAAAAGAAGCCAATTAGACGAAACCCCGAGACACGTGAGTAGGGAAACTAGGCAGGTACGGGGCCACCCCCCTCGCCCCCTGGCCTCGTAGCTAGGCAGGTACGGGGCCACCTCCCCTCCTGGCCTCCTTCCAGGGCCAGCCATGGCCTCGTAGCTAGGCAGGTATACGGCCACCTCCCCTCCATCAGAGTTTCGTGCTATTGCACACATCTTCAGTCCCTCCACCCATGCCTGGCCACGCTCCGACCTCACCTAGGCAGGGTCTTAAAATTTTTTTAGATTTAAAAATTATTTTTATTCCATTGTTAAGGTAAAGTACCCTGTATTCGGACAAAAGTGTTGTTCGGACCTATATCCGGACAGCAGCGATAATTACATAATTTTTTTACAATTTCTGAATGAAAAAATTTATTTGTAATCTACAGTATTGAATTGATTTAGGATAGTTACAACATACGTCGAATTAATTTGATAATTCATGAAAAGAAATGTTTTTTCTTGCAAATCGAGGTTTTTTGTGTTTGGCTGCTGTCCGGAAATTAGATACTACGGTTCAAACTGTACCCCATATTCGGACATACATAATCCAGCAATTCACTTGCTTACAAGTGCAAAGAAATGGTTATACTATGTAGTAAAATACAATAATAATTTGTTTTTTGCATTTGTTTAACAAATTAAAGCCATTAAAGTAAAATATAACTGTATATAAAGATCTGCCATAACCTCATTTTCTCAATGTTCACGACTGTCCGGATTATGGTCCCTACGTCGTAACGGGACCTATATTCGGACTATTTAGAAATGAATTGTCCGAATATAGGGGTTTTGAGACTGAATCTTTATAATTATTTTAAACAATGATCACACGGTCACAAAGAACTTTTTTTTTAAAGGGACAGAAAAATTACTTTATTATCTATATGTCAACCGCCTTTTTCGCAAAAACAGCTAATTTCTTTGTGAATTTAGAAATAGTGGATTACCTAAAATTATGTGTCCGAATAGAGGGTACTTTACCTTATTTCCATTTCTCTTTTTTTATTTACTTATTTTTTTTATTTCGAAATAAAATATTTTCCCCTCATTCGGATTTGAACCTTGCTTCGCAGGGTAATAGTCAGGTACGCTACCGACTGTACCATCGGATGATTGGATACTTACTATACTAATACACACATATATGTTTGGTACCGCACTGTCTTATTGACATAAAGCGTAAATGTCTTAAAGATAACTGAAAGATGACCTTTATGATAACTAAAAAAAAGACTTAAAAATAACTTAAACATGCCTCTTACAATGTTTACACTCATGAAATGATTTAGAAGCACGCTTCATAAAAGCCCCAACCAAACGCTCTTATCTGTGAGGTACAACCATCGAATCTTACCTCTCCAAAAGAAGCGTAGCCAAATTTTTTAGTTCGTCCATTGAAAAAATTTAGTCATTAATAGATTGATTACAAAGCAATGGTTACATCCATTCCATGGACTCAGGCAAATGTAGGAGAAACTTTTTGTACAGTCTAACTGAAGAGGTGTGAATAAAGGGGGTGCGCGAAATAAAAACGAGTATTTTAAAGTAAGACAAAACGTTTATTTAATTTGACTGCCGACCGACGTAAAACACAACTGACTTGATACAGTTTACAGACTTACTACTGACAAAACGGACAAAGACAATAAAGCTAGAGCTGACGAAAGGTGTAGAAGGCACGGTGGCTTACACTGTACTGACTCTAGGGCCCGCAATTATCACCTTGCCTGTGGCGCTGTCTTACACACTATATATACTGCCTATCAAAAAGTCGTACATGCCAACACTAACATTATGATGTGCACAGTTTGCCTTGTACGCCCCATTATGATGAGAGCAGACAGTGGCTAGTTTTATTTTATCAATCGGAGGATAGCCCAAATCTGTAATATCATGAACTTTAAATTTGAATCTCTCCAACCATTGTTTTCTCAATGAGCCAAATACATGCACTTTTCTTGCATTTTGTAGGTGTTTTCGGAGAATTGTTCCGATAGTATTGTACGGGAAATTTCCCGATTCCCAAGATATACCATGAAAACAGCGTTCCAACCATAAATTTTCTCTTCTATATTTGTCTAAGAGTCGCTGCCATAAAAATGGCTCTTTGAAGAGAAACACTGTAGGTTCATCGTCAGAATGGAGTGGAAGTATAGCTAATTCCTTGAGAACTAATTCATCGACAGGCTGTTTAAAGCCTTGCATATCAACTATGTAATCCATTGATTGCTCATAACCTTCTCACTATCATATTTTTGGAAACTTTCCTCCCCAATTCTCTATTTCTTATTACTTTTTTCTGATTCTTTTTTCGTGAGATTCAAATTCCAAACGCACATCTACTGGAGCATTTTTTTAATGAGTCACTTTGCTTGGAGCAATCAATCAAAATTAAAGGCGTGACGTTCAGAAAATCATATCTGTTTAACATTGGTGCGGGGGATTTACCATAATATGAATTCTGAAATAAGCATACATGTCATACAACAGTGCATACTGATTGTTTGTCATATCGAGATTGAGATTACCATAGGGATAATATTGTGAATTGAAATGGGGTCTCACATTTCTTATGTTACAGTGATCGAACTTGCTAGCACTAGCAGCTATCTTATTCTTTCGGTTTGTTTGAAAATCCAGTATAACATAACGTGGCTTTTCCAACTGATTGGACGTCTTGACTGTCCTGATATGCTTCGATGTTGTGGGTAAGAGTGGATATTCGTAGAGCTCCCAAGTACGAAAACTCATAGATATCAATTTGTCTTTTTGCAAATAATTGAGCAGACGAATTTTATGAGAATCTGACATTACTACATAGGGCATAAGCCATTCGAGCTTCAGTATTACTATTTCAAACTCTTCCCACGTCTGTGGTTCATTAGAATTCGCAGCAGGAATAGCACCTTGAACAACTGCATTTAAATCATTTCTCGATCTCCTTAGTATAAGTTCATGTTTTACATTAACAACTATCTTTCGATAATCTTCAGCAAAACCTAAAATCATGTTGAGAGGAATTGAGACATCAAAGCAGCTGTCCTCCGTTAGACTTAAAGCGTGAGTTCCGTTCCAACCTGCATTCTGACTCAATACGTCTTGATCTGGACTGAGTGTTAACCGATTTTTCATGATAGTTGTTAGACCCACATTTTTACTTATTTACATTTACATTTTTACTAATCTATCTCAATAGCGTTCATCTCATACCTAATTTCTTCAAATAGGTGGCAGATGGCGTTAGTCACCAGCTCAGTATTCGTAGTTGCTGTATTTCCATCTGCTTTAACTAATTTTCCATAAATGTGTAACGAACTGCGTGATGGTAGTAGACATAGGTCCTGATGTTGATATATGGATACGGAATTAATATACGGATTTCACCACTGTTACCATAAGTTGCGGAGGCGTATGGCTGATAGGCATCAATCTCATAGTGTGCTATGGATTCATCAAAAGTGACAGGAGACTGAATGCTGAAAATTTCTTCCATATTTTACGCAACAAAACAAGAATATGCAAGTTAGTTTCCACCACGGCCTTTAATTTTTAATCCTAAACTTTTCAGAAACTGAACGTTTTGACGTGTCAGTTGTCTTTGACGTATTGACAGTTTGACTGTTCGTTGTTGACTGACTGCTGAAGCACATGTTGAACTATTTATATAGCTTTTATTGTTGTATACGATCCCCATTATGATGAAAGTCTTAAATGTAACCTTACGGTTATGACTTCTCCACGAAAGTTTACTAGATTACTGTCCTGATCGACAATGCGTAGTTGTATGTAGTCGATGACGCGTCCAACAATTGGTAAATAGATAATTTGTGATGGTACTTCGATGATTTTATAACCTGGTGGTACAGCTGGAAAAAATTCGTGAATGGTATGAACTTTTTCTCCGTTTATTTAGGCTCCAGTAGTAATATTACACTCAACTCTCAGTGCGTTAACTTTGAGAATAGCCACAAGTAAATCTAAACTGTGGGTAGTGCTATCTTCAAGAACACGTTCAGTGAAACCCAAGAGATGAGCTATAGAATCTTTTGGTCTAAAATCAA